ATACGTGTTGCAAAATATATACGTAGGAACCGGGAGAAGCAGTGCAGTTAATTGATGCACCGGCGTAAAATGATCGAAGAGTCGCGCGATAATGGCGAGGGAATTTCAAGTAAATTAGGCGCGTCCGCTCGCGCGTTGTTGCCTTTTCTTCCGCCTTTATACATCGGGACATTAAATTATTAATTGAGCCGTGGTCGAGATAACGGCTAACTTATCGGCGGAAAGATTGATCAGCCGTACCGAGGCGAAACGCAAAAGAATTATGCGGAGGGATGGATGGCCCGCATTAACAAACAATTATCACGTAACGTCGTATTAACACGATTACGCGCTCGTAACAATATCTCGGGATACCTCGTTTTCGTTTCGGTCGACGCGGTTCACCCGGCAATTGATTCACACACGCGCGAGAATGACGCGTTGGTCCGTATAGTGAGAAAAAAAAAGACTGAGAAATTGATTTGCGAAGGTTCATTTCACAGAAATAAACCTTCATTCTAATACGGCGAAACATAACATTTCATTCCTAGTGAATGAACCAATAAATAGGAAAACTTAGGTATATTTCGCAAAAATATATATCCCGTCATATCATAATTTGGTTAGTGTGGTGAAACCATCGTTGCATATTGCGTTGCGATATATCAACGTATACTGTAGCGATAAAATTTAATTGGTATAACCAAGTTGGCAGATTTGGTAATTAGAGTAATCAGAGCAGAAACAATTTTGTTGCCAAGATGGAAAATATTCTGCTGAGTGAATTTGTGACATGTTAATTTGTTGTTGGTAAAAAATAATCTACATTTACTAATTCATCTTACAAGCAAAATAATTTGTAGAATTCAACCAACGCAATTCTTAACAAATTATTTTGTTGTCCGTATATACTGACAGATTTTGTTGCGATAGAGCATAAAATTCATCGCGTCAGCAAATTACTTTCCTCCATATAAGATTAAAGCCGCAACTTTTGCGCCCTTTATCACATTTTCTTGCTTAGGACAAACGGCTAGAAGCTTTCTTTATTCGACGTTTTCTTTTCCTCTTCACGCGGCCAGCCTGCAAAACACCATGAAGAATCATTCGCAATAACGTCTCGCGAGGATTAAATTCCATCCTCTTCTTCTTCTCCTCCATTGGATTCTTTAATTCCACGCGATGATCGTCGCGCGATATCGCTTCCATCCGACGGATGCTGCGAGGGAAAAGTGATGACGCGTATTGAAATTCTCAGGCGGATAAAGACGTTGGGGGAAAGTTTTTTCGACGACGCGTAATAACAGCGGAGACGCAGGTGTAATCGCGGCGGAATACACTCGGCTAATCCACGGTTTGATTCCCCCGGTATTTACGGTCCACGGGAACCGCGGCATTGTTCCACGGTTACACCGTTTCTTGCCCCGGGGAGAAATTTCACCGGTTGAGGGGAACGCCGTATTATATTTACAAAGCGGATCGTTAGGATGTAATTGCAACGACGACGCGCCGAAACGCCGTCGTTAACGTTCACACGTATCATTCTTTCTTTGATACTTTGTTACTTTCCGCAGAATGGATTTTTCCGAGAAAGAGAGAGAGGGAGGGGAGAATCTTTTTTCCTTTCTCGGCGGAAATCGTCACGTCACATTTTACGCTCCTTGGAGCCGGTCTTAACGAAGTTTTTGCCGCGCCTTTTCATGCGCGACACGGCATTGCCGGATCGTTGACTCGTCGATCTCGTCAGCGAACCTTCGAAATCGCCGTGCAAAATCGATCGCGTAGGACGTTTCTTGCAGCCAATCGACGCGTGTGCGTCACCTGCGTCGCGTTTCCAGAATAATATCGAGCTGCGTGGAGCTCCTTGCATAACGATGGGCGAGTCTTGAATTAATTATCGCGGATTAAGGAGGAGAACGAATCAAGACTGAGGATTTGAATTTTCGGACTAATTATTGTCGCGCCCCCGAAATGATTATTTTATCTAACGGAGTAGCAGCAGCTGCTTTTTTACCGAAACTTCATTTCAGGTCGTTCTTTCATCTGCGGGTGAATTTTTTGCAATTTTCGGTGAAAATGCGAGGAAAGGAGAGCAAGAAATTCCTGCTTACACCGTGACGACACACGTTTATGGCGAGGAGGAGGACTGGGGGATCTTCGTTATTATTTCAGCGAAACGAAGCGTGTACCCCGTACACGCTCGAGTTGGCTCGTGTGCGGAGTTGTTAACTTCTTCATGCCGGCTATGTCCAATTTGTTGCATGCGGCGCGTCTTCATTCGCTTTTCACAGTAAATATCATCGCAATAAGAGGATCGATGCACGGCATGTCGTTACGTAAATTTCCACGCGACGACGCGCGGTCGTTCTGTACTTTCGTCGCTCACGGCGAATATTTCGATCGCTTTTCGATTTTGTGCTCGAAACAGATTTACTTGAGACGATAGCAAACATATTTATTAAGAATATTCATTGCTATTTGCTGAATATTTATACCAACTAAACGTTTTGCTGCAACAGTAAATTCCGGACAAATTATTTTGCCCGGGTAACAAATCTGTCAGCACAAGCGAAATTTGTTGCGCCAGCAAAATATTTCTTTTTCGTGTGTATGTGCCAGATAATTATTATGCATACCCCGTACGATTTTTTCTCGAAAGTTTCCCACGAATTTCTGCCCGGTGATTAACACCCGACGATAATTAAGCGGTCTGAATTCATATTAATCGGTTCCGATGAAAATGTCGCATCAGCTTTCGAACTTTCGGATCGGCCGTTCGAATTGCAGGACAGTAGATGCACTGCTTGCTACCGAGTAACGTTATCCCCGAGATACCTGGCTGGTTCTATCGTCACGGTGCGTGACCGACGCCGGTATATGTCCATTCTGTAAAGACCATGCGCGGGCAACTCGCTTATTTGTTTGAGCCTCGGCTCGAAAACTTCAACGGATTTCTCTTTATCGTAAGAAATCGATGTCCGTGCTTAAAACATAGCTGACGTAACCGCCGTCGCATTGCCACCGCGAGATAATTGGTCAATGGATTTCGTTGTTAACTTGAAATGTTCAATACTGCCGTCTTTCTGCTCGATGTTGTTACGTTCATTTTATAACGCATATTTATTCGATAAAATATTTAGTAATTCAATTCGCACACACGATTTTAACTCCTGCCTCGCTCTTTTTCAAAATGAATTCGAATTATGCATTCGAATGGAATAAAGGTCATTATCATTAAACTTGATCACTCCCGCTCCAATCAGGATCGTGTGAATCGAGTACGCCGCGGCGTTACTATTTATAATTCCGATTGCCGATCGATCGGCTTGGAAAAATGCGTGAGAAGCGAGAGGAACGTCTCGCGCAGGTCTTTTTTGCGTCACGGAGACGAGCGTTGCGGCCGTTTTTCTCTCTTTTATCATTTTTTTCTTTCTCCCTCTCTAGTGTCGCGTAATAAACGTCTAACGTAAACCCGTTTCTAAGCCCGACTCGCGCCCGTGAATGCGTGACTTTCAGACACACGAGAGGCTTAAGTTGAGAACGCAACTGCATCGCGAATGCGATCGGGTCGATTACTGTCCGTCCGAAATCTTCTCTTTTTGCGAGCGCAACCCGTTACGACCCTTTAGATTAGAAAAGCCGGTCCGTTACGATCGAAGAGGGACGGAAAATCGTCTCTCTTCGTTGCGCGAGATCTGTTTTCGGATCGATACGACAATTTATTCCACGGTTGCGCCGTTCGTTTCGAGAATGGCGCGATACAGATCTCCACGTAAATATTCATTCACGGTTATACAACGTTATCGCAAACGATCCGTTACATGAATCGGTATGTCACACACACACCATGTGGTGGCGAAAGTATGAGTCTAAATCCTTGGAGAGACTTATTAAAAATTGGAGAGAAAAAAGCTTTCCCTGCGTTATTCGCTGTATTTAGATGGCGGAGATTTCTTTTTTGAACCGCTGTGCGATGTTAACTACATCAATTATCATACGCACCGCGGCTACGCAGTTTCACCGTGGTAATCTTCTCCGTCAAATTTTGGCAACTCGCTTTCACGACCGGACGCGAATGATGTATTTTTTTTTCCGCCTGTATATATAATATGACTAATAGAACGGGGCGCGATTGTTCCGTTACAGTACTGTTATCGAGTGTTCTCCAGGAAATTTTTCTCTAAAACCCGAACGTTCGAATTATTACGTAAAATAATGGTAGCTAAAATGCGGCGCAGCGTTCCGTAGGATGGGCAGTCTAATATTCATAGAGAGTCTAAGCGGCTGGATGAATGGCTGTTCCATATTGCGATGTACCGTTCATGAGTTTCTCGTCGGATCGCTTTATTGTAGCAGGAAGAATTCAGTTTTCAGTTGAAATAAAATTTTCCTATCGGACGCCAAGACATTTTCCGGTCGAACAGTGTGTGTGTGTGCTTTCGCCTCGAGTACCGTAAATAAAAGTAAAGTGTTCTGAAAAGTCTTTTATCTCATAATGACAATTCCATCGAATAAAAAGATTTATTCCTCCAAATGTACGCAAAATATAGTAGTTGAAGAAAGCGGTCTTGTGGAGGGATCGAAAAGGTAGCGATCTTCCTTACCCATAGTAACAAACCATCTTGCCGACACACTGATAGAGTCAGCGACATTTTCGATGTGCGATAAAGAAGTTCACACGCGTATGTATTTTACCGTACACAAGTAACATAATATATAGATCTTACACTGATAAAGGCGCGAGCGATACGATTCTTTAGTAATAATCATCAGTACGCATTCGATGGAACGTAGGATAGTATCTATTTTTTCGAAAAATGTCTTCTTTCATTGTAAATACATAGTAGTAAAAATCTGTCATAAATATTCGAATGTGAGTCAAATCATTAAACGTTAATTTAAATTAACTACAGATCGGAATCTATACTGAAAAAAAAATTGCTACGTTCAAGTGAATATTTGCTAAAGAGTATCGGAGTAGTTTATTTGGATCAAGTAAATAAACTACTCCAATACTCCTTAGTCATTATTTATTTGAACGTAGTAATTTTTTTTTCAATGTACTATTCTCAAGAGAATAACAGATCTAATGGAAGTATAGAGCGACCACGGATGTCTTGGGGTACTATATTATATTGCGAAATGCAATATATATGATGGACATTTATACCCTCCCACACACAATAATATTAATATTAAATAGAGCACCAAGACACCCGTGCACGCTTCTCGTGTCTTTATACTTTTATCGTTACCTTTCCAAGGGAGTCGTAAAAATGTAAAAAATCTAACAACAGATCTATCCTTCACAGTTTACATTCTTCTAGGGACGCTGCTTGTCGTTATCGAAACAATTTGTGCATTGAATGTGCGTTTACGGAAAAATAACACGTTCGTTAGCAGTGTGACATATTCACATTAACGAATCAAATATCTATTTTATACAATCATATTTTATACAATCATATAGAAATAAATAAAAAAGGACGGATGATGATCCGTGGGGAGGATTGCCCAAATGAACTCTGTCAACGAACGTGATAGGTTGTTTCTTACTGATCGTTTATCAAACAGGGTTCGTGATCGGGGGAACTGTATAGTACAATTATTGTATTACACAGTGCGATTGACTACATCTTCAGGCAGCGTAGAGTCTTCGGTGCTATTCGCGCACTAAACTGTAATAAGTTCCCGCGGGACTGCTCGTTGCCGTCCGGCTGATCCTCCGCGCGAACCGCCGCTTCCGTGTCCTCGAGATCGATGACGAAGTCGCGGTTTCCCATCAGCGTCGCCAGGCACATGTTCTCTTCCTTTATCCTGGAACGTACCAGCAGCTCCAACGTAAAGAGATGTTCGTCGTACACCTCCGGCAAGTAACGGTGCATGAACTCCGCCAATCTGTCACCAGTCACATGCGATGCGCGTCGTTTTATTACGTGATCAACGCAATCGATAACATTAGCGTATCGAATTAGCGTATCGAAATCTAATATTAACGTGCGACTTTCCGCAACGACCGCGGTTGAAATTGCATTTCCCATCGCACAAATATCGAAAATATCCATGAAAAGATAATCTCTCGATTAAACCTTTAGATAATTATCTCTGTAATGATTATTTATTAAACAAAATTAATCGAATGTTCGACACGGATTATTGATTTTCAGTGTTACGCACATGTAGAATGTTAACTCAAAGAATGCACCGTAGTAAATAATATTATAAGCTTGATCGAAGAAAAGTTAAATTCAGTTAATTCGAATAAATCGAAGTTTGTTTTAATTTAATATTCTGGATTGAAGTACTAATTTTAATTAAGATTCAGAATATATTTTGAACAGATTTGACGCTTATGATGAACTTTTATTTGCGAATATTTAAAGTTATATAAAAGTTGTAACGAGAGAACATTTACTTGAGTGCAATATATAATTTTCTATGTGTATAATGAGAATGGACAAATGAGCGAGAGGTAGAATTAAAAAAAAAAAACAAATGAATTTCTCGCTTTTGGGAGGTTTCGTAAAATAGTGTTTCGCCGTGGAAAGTTTATTACGCTCTATCGGAACCGGATGACACTTTTCAGCCTCGCGTGAAGTAACTATAAACGGCGATATGTCCTTACCGTAACAGGTACTCGACGTTGTGTCCGCTCGGGCCGGAACACTCGGTGATTTGACGCGCTATGGTCTGCAGCGGCGCATCGCCGAGCCAGAGCTCGTTCTCGCTGGTGGCGATATAAATCACAACGGGGATTTGCTTGGCACCGTCCCGGCTGTGAAACGTCGCTATGATCGTCAGATATCCCCCCAGAGCGCACTCTCGATTTTCCAAATAGGGCAGCGCTGCGCTGTCCTGAATTTGAAACGCCCGCCCGTAAACCGTGTCCTGTTATCGAAAAAGAAGTATTTCTAGTAAGATCTGTTTGTGGTTTTCGCGATGTGTTACTTAAGTTTAGTTACCTCTCTGTCTTCGATTAATGTGGCGACTCGACCGGGCTGCAAGATAAAGAGAACGGATTTTATCGATAAAAATATAGGTATTCGAGTGAACGAAAAAAAAAAAGATTTGAGTTGGAATTTGATCGCGTAAAATTATTCTTACGGCGTGGGAAAATAATGCGTGTCGCACCGCGGACGATGAGAAGAGACGCGCGACACGCGGAGTTAAACTCTCTTTGAAGAGATATCAGTTACTACCGGTTCGTAACACAAGTGTAATCTAAAACGCGCTGGAACGATAATTTATATCATGGAAAAAAAGGAGAGTGCAACGTCTGGTAAAGAGATGTAAGCAAGCCGACGTCTTGGTAATCTTCGGGAACCAATAAAAGCCGGTTAAGACAATCTCTACGTACGGAATTCGAACGAAAACGATGATTTATTTATGTGCTCCATTGTGGATCTCGTCTAAGAGCTATTAATTCAACGGTTTGCTCCGTACACAATGCGCGTGACTGATTTACGAGAGGAACAAGTCCACTTTATCGCATTCGAGAATTTGTTGCACATCGCGAAAGCGACTCCTACGAGCAAAATGTGAACGCGATATGTTATTTAACCTGTTAACCGGAGAATAAATTTTTTTTTGTTTGCGTTCAAAATACTACGGTAAATTTCCATGACGAAAATTGTCGTCATGCCCATTGCAGCAGTAGTTCGTGTATGACGAAATATTTCGTTATACCTAGTTAACGGGTTAAAATTCAATTTGCGACATTAGATAATTAATTTTATATATATATCATATGTGTAATTACAAGTATGAGGAAATAAAATTCCTAGACAGATAAATATAGATAGCGTGAAACAGTATACAGTGAAATTCGAAAAACATTTCGCTACAAAATTAAAGAAGAAAAATTTGAAGATGAGTTGCGTTAATTCTATATACAGGGTGTTTGATGTTTCATCCGTCATATATTTGTAGTTTAGGTCAATGTGAACAAAAATTATATTTAAAAATTTAACGAACAAAAAAGTTCTCTACTACTTTACAAACAACCGTGCAAAATTTTGAATTATTAAAGATGGTCATATATAGTAGAGGCTTCTTTAATTAATAACTCAAAAATTTTCCTAATTATTTGCAAAATAGTAAAGGACTTTTTGTTCAGAGTGACATAATCTACACACACACATATATATATATATATATAACGAAGAGCAACGAGGATAGGTTTACAAACGATCTCACGCACGATTCGACTCACCTTTTCCACCGTTCCACGATGTGTTGTGTTGCCTTGCCAAAAACGTCTTTTGAAGCCCTTGACATAACCGGCAATGCTTTTGCTGTACGAGAAGCCGGGATGCCAACAAAGCGATCCATATCCGAATACCCAAAGCGCGTTATTATTAGCCATGTTCGCACTTTCTCGAAGAAAAAAAGTCAGGCAGAGTGGATAAACGATGTCTCTTTTCACGTTTTTTCTTTTTTCCTTCTTTCTCTCTTCTTCGTTTTTTTACGCAGAGTTCTAACTCAAAATATTTAACAACGTTGATGAATTCTTCGTATTATACACATTCGCCGATCATGACGGGAGTCGTTTTCCATTAACAAGGCTTATCAAAAATTGTAAAGCGATCGTAACAATGATTTTATGGAAAGAGCAATGCAGTAACATTCATAGTGTGTGACGTCGAGCGAAATTTATTAATAAAAATTGATCCGTTGATCCTAAGCGGCCTCAAAAGTCCCCCAAAGAAGTCGTTTTGTCTAAATTATAGTTTTAAATTAAAATAATCGTTTTTCACTTCGGTTAAATTAACGAAAAAATTCGTTTTTACTCGGAAAATCTTTCGAATATCTCTTCTCGCTGTAGCAAGGAGACTTTCACAGCCGTATCGAGAGGATTTTATCGATCTGCAATCTTCTATCGCAATCTTACAGAAATTCAATTCTGTTCTATTAATTCTAAAGTTCATCGGGATCTGACGTGTAAAATCTCGATCTTTGTGCGATAGATCATCGCTTATCACAGTGCTTCATCGATTCACCACTGACTTTTCCCTTTCTGACCTCACCCTCAACAACGGTGGTTGCGTCAATTCGCGCTAATCAGCGCGCTGCGAATCCCTCACGGTGAACTCGGGATGGCGACTCCAATCTATCAATTCGCGACTACGATTAACTAACTAGGTGACGTCAACCGGTGAATTCCATAGCGTTGCACGTGTAGCCATCTCTTCTTCTTCTTCTTCAGTCGCGTTGCTTTTTTAATCGTTTTCTTCAAGAAAATCACGAGAACTGTTCACTGAGGACAAATCTCTATCTTAAATCACTCGTTCGAGCAACGTCCGCTCCGAAGAAATGGATTTTTTAGAATTTATCCTTTTTCGAACAACCAAGTAACTTTGACCCGTAATTTTGGAGGCCTTCGAAATAGATACAGCGCGCGCTCCACGTCAAGATTCGACGGGGACTGTCGGCTTCCCACTGACGCGCTTTCGTTCACTGAACTAGACCGCCAGACACGCGTCGAAGACGGAAAGAGTGAGAAAGAGAACGGAGAAGATCAGGGAAGACGGAGAAAAGCGGCAGAGTACACGCGACGCGCGCGCGGTGGGATGAATGATGAAACGTATCGCCTGATTGACGCATCGCCGCCGATTATACGAGACATCGCGTTCGTCCGAATTTGTACTTCCGAACAAAACGAAAACAATATATTCAATCTTAAAAAGAGTCGGGGTCAAAATTCAAAGTGCTTCCCCTTGAAAATCAATAGAAAGATCTTAAACATATGGATCGTCTTTTTCAGACATACCAGAGAGAGAAATATTTCAGTAATTTATTATATTCGACAAAAGAACGATTTTATTTGTCTGTGAAATGTCGAATAAAAATTGTATAAATATATGTTAAAAATTGATATTTAATTGTTAGAGCTGAGAAACTGATAATATTAAATCTTAATATAAGGATACATCCACGAACATGACAAATAAATAAAATACATATATGAAGGAATATTTTTCTTTATCACGACAAAATAGGCAGAATTGAATTTTGAAAAGAAAATTGTCAGTAATTTTAAAAAGAATAATGATAACGAGATAATTCTTGAGAAACATTTCACAGCGCGAAGAGAATCTTTAATTCTCATGCATATTTTTACTTATTTTTTTACACAAATATAAATAGAAATTAATAAGATGTTTGATGAAGTTTGTCGATAGGCTCTGAAAAGCTAGTTTACACGAGTAGGCGGCGAGTAAACATGTGGTATTAGCGATTGGGATATACAAGGTGGGCCATTTTAATCGACCCAGTCGAATATTTCGAAAACCAAGCCCGGAAGAGAAAAATTTTTCAGACAAAAGTTGTTTTGTTTCGAGGGGACCATAAGACGGTACCATTGGTTTGACCTTGAAGAATTATTTGAAAGTCACATGAAGGTCACCTCAATTTCTTTTAATGGCATCCTCTATTTTTTATTACATATTCTTGTAGCTGACCTCGAGAGCTTTCCAAAACACT